GGGAGCATGGTCTGATACTAACTACCAACGTTGAAAATTCAAGAGATTTCATCTAATCTATGTAGATTTAACATAATCGGGCTTTCACACAAAATTCTTTCTTTTCTTTTTTTTTATATATTTTAAATCTTTATTGTTTTTTTTCTTAATCCTCACCTGAGGACATTTTTCGATTTTTTTTTTCAGATAGAGTGGGAGGGAGGGAGAGAAAGAGAGACATCCACGTGAAAGGGACACATCGAATGGCTGCCACCCACACGACCCAACCAGGGCCGGGGATAAACTGCAACTGAGGTATGTGCCCTTAGCGGGAACCGAACCCAGGTCTCTCCAGACTGCAGGCCGATGCTCTAACCGCTGAGCCAAACTGGCCAGGGCTAAATCTTTATTGTTGAATATATTACAGATGTTCCTCATTTTTCCCCATTGACTCCCGCCCCCCTCCCACCTTTTCCCACACTATTGTCTGTGTCCATGGGTTATGCATATAAATTCTTTGGTTTATTTCTTCCCACTCCCAACCCCTTTCCCTTTGAGGTTTGTAAGTCTAGCAATGAATTTGTACTTCTTAATCCCCTCACCTTTTTCACCCATTCCTCCAACCCCCTCCCATCTGGCAACCAACAAAATGTTCTCTGTGTCTATGAGAATGTTTTTGTTCTGTCTGTTCATTTTGTCTGTAGATTTCATTGTCGATAGATATGTATTCATTGCCATTTTGTTTGTTCATATATTTTTATCTTTTTCTTAAAAAAGACCCTTCATCATTTCATATAATAACGGTTTGGTGGTGATGAACTCCTTTGACTTTTTCTTGTCTGGTAAAGTCTTTATATGGCCATCGATTCTAAATGACAGCTTTGCAGGATAGAGTAATCTTGGTTGTAGGTTCTTGCTTTTCATCACTCTGAATATTTCTTGCCACTCCCTTCTGGCCTGCAAAGTTTCTTTTGAGAAATCAGCTGACAGCCTTATGGGAACTCCCTTGTAGGTAACTAGCTGCCTTTCTTTGCTGCTTTTAAGATTCTCTCTTTGTCTTGAACCTTTTGCATTTTGATGATGATGTGTCTTGGTGTGGGCCTCTTGGGGTTCATCTTGTTTGGGACTCTCTGTGCTTCCTGGACTTGTATGTCTGTTTCCTTCACCAAGTTAGGAACGTTTTCTGCCATTATTGTTTCAAACAGGTTTTCGATTTCTTATTCTCTCTCTTCTCCTTCTGGCACCCCCAAGATGCAAATGTTGGCACGCTTGAAGTTGTCCCAGAGGTTCCTTACACTATCCTCGTTTTTTTTGGATTCTTTTTGTTGTTCTGATTGGGTGTTTTTTGCTTCCTTATATTCCAAATCAATGGTTTGCTTCTTGGATTTACATACTCTACTATTGAATTGGTGTAAATTATTCTTTATTTCAGTTAATGCCTCCTTCATTTCTGACTGTGCATCCATCATTTCTGACTGGTCCTTTTTTATGCTCTTGAGGCCCTCACTAAGTTCACTGAGGTTCTCACTAAATTCATTGAACATCCTTATAAGCAGTATTTTGAACTAAGCATCTGTTAGGTTGTTTATTTCCATTTCACTTAGTTCTTTTCTTGGGGTTTTGTTCTGTTCTTCCATTTGGGACCTGTTTCTTTGTCTCCTCATTTTGGCTGCCTCCCTGTGTTTGTTTCTGTGTATTACTTAATGAGCGGTATGGGGCTAGCTGAGACCAGATGCTGCTCGTTTGAAAGAATTTAGGAAAATCTGAAGCAGGATCCAAGGCGGGCCAATCCTATGGTTAAGCAACTGGCAACAGCTTGGGTGGGCCTAAAAGTTGGGTGGGGCCTGGCCTCAGGGAATCACCGGGGTGGGGCTAGAGTGTGAGCCAGGTTGCTGGAGTCCCAGATATGGCAGCTGTCTGCCGCCCCAGGGAAGGGCTCACCAAAGGAACAAAGGCCTCTGACAGCACGTTTGTCCTGGAGATAGCTCTCTCTCCAGCTCTCGCTCCAGTGCCAAACAGCTCAGTTTTTCCCTGTATGTCTTTGGTGCCCCTCGAGCTGCCTCCCCTCCAAGCTTAGAGGGAGTGAGTTCAATAAGTCCGTGTGTGGGCCCTTTAAGGAGCTGCCTGGGGCTCCAGCCGCTTCAGCTTCCCTGAGCCTCAGTTCCTGCTGGTTTTTCCAGCCAGAAGTTATGGGGACTTCTCTTCCTGGCACTGGAACCCTGAGCGGGGTGTCTGGTGTGGGACGGGGACCCCTCAGTCCTCAGGGAGGACCTTCCCAGCCGAGGTGTCCTCCTGATTTTTATCCGCCACACGTGGGTGTGGGACCAGCCCGTCAGCCTCCGCCCCTCCTACCAGTCTGGATGTGGCTGCTGCTTTAATTCCGTAGTTGTAGGACTTCCATTCAGCTTGATTTAAGGTGGTTTTGAATGATGGTTGTTCTGTAGTTTAGTTGTAACTTTGATGTGGTTGTGGGAGGATGCAATACCGCGTTTACCTACACCACCATCTTGACCGGAAGTCAAATTCTTGCTTCTTTGTAAATCAGATAATCAGACAAAGCAGGCCTTCTGACTGCTTTGCTACCCACAATGATTTCCCCGCTCCTCTGTGTATCTGGGTTTGGCTCCCCTGTTCTAGCAATTCAAGAGCCACCAAATACTTAACCTTACTTGCCTTATTCAGGTAGTCCCTTTGAGAGATACAGGGTTTCTTAAGCATGTACAGATTGATAATAGAATCATAGCCATTTGAACAAAGGGATATAGAAACTCTTCCCAAATGGTATCACTTTTACCAATTTTCAAAAGTATGTTGTGGAATACTTCAGCTGGGGACTTGAATACAGTATTTGGGTAGTACTAAACGATAGTGTATCATCACTGTTGATCTCTAGGGGGCGTCATTCCCAAAGACTACACCTCGGAAAGGTTTCAAAATAGGTGTTGACAACTTTTTCAGTCATTGTGCACTCTTCCTGGCATTACGGTTGGGGTTTTTCTCATTACTTTCTAAGCATCTCCTCTTTTTGTCAGTAGCATTGGCATCATGTCTGTTGGGGGATATTACAGCATAAACTGTAGAAGGTTTCAAAACAAAAGTCAGTTTTAAATAGTATGTTGAAAGCCAAGGGAAGATGACTGTCAATCCCTTTGAGGAAGGACAAAGTAGTCAAACAATGTTTCATCAGGAAAGCCGTGAGAGAAGAGAACATAGCAGAGCCAAATACGGTATGGAGAAAGAGGCAGCCTGGTGGAGAAAATGACTACAATTGTATTCTACTGTGTTTTTCTGTTGTTGGCATCTATGTACATCTTTTCCAAAAATCAGTTCACATACGCCCATTTATCTGTTTAAATTCTTGTGCCAAAACGTTTAGGGTGGTTGTTGGTTGTCTTCAGCTGAGTGGGGTTAGGAGTGATATTTTCTTCTTCCAACTTTTCTGGGTTTCCCAAGTGTTCCTCAGTGTATCGGTTTTGTGACAGGATAGAAAGCCAGGCCTCTCTCCATCCACGCGGGGAGCCGGTCCTGCCAGGGCAGACAGACCCTCCCCTAGTTCTGCAGTTCTGGTCCTCCTCCAGCTTTCTCTGCTTTGTCACTTCAGTCACGTCCCAATCCCGGAGAGATGGGAAACCGCTTCAAAGTTAAAGCCAGCGATCAGGAATCAGCAGAGGCAGAGAGACCCCGCGACCAAGCCGGGTGTCCCCGGGGACATTTGCGGGGAGCGGCCCTCTGCGTCATGTGGGGCCCGCCCCTTCCAGGACCTGGGCTCGGCGTGTTCTGCCGTCTTGGCCGCGGTCGTGGAAGCAGGATTTCCGCGGTTGTGTAACGGCCCCTCGCGGGCGTGCAGAGGCCCGGGCCCCGCATCCCTCCGCCTCGCGGCCCCTGGCTCCGGCAGCCGCGCCATGGCCTGCGCGGCGGCGGCGGGGAGCGGCGGGGCGCGCGGCGCGCTCTCGGTGCACACGCTGCTGTTCGACCTGCCGCCCGCGCTGCTGGGCGAGCTCTGTGCCATCCTGGACAGCTGCGACGGCGCGCTGGGCTGGCGCGGCCTGGGTGAGTGCGGCCGCCTGCGGGCCGGGGGAGGGGCGCGGGGCCTCCGCGCGCACGCTCCGCCGACCCGCCGCGCCGCGGGGCAGCTCCGCGCCTCCCGGAGCGCGGGACGGGTGGTTCGCACGAGGAAGCTGCCCTTTACTGGGCCTCGGGAGGACACCGCTCCCTGGGGCTCTCCCAGGAGCTCCCCTTCTCTAAAAGGAACTCTGGGTATGCAGCAAGATTAAGGGAGCGGAAGCTTGGGAAGAACAGCTACCCGCGTGAAACCGTCTAAGGTTTGCCAACCACCCTGCCTTCCTTGGCTCAGACGCTGCAAATCAGAATGCCTACGTGAGGTCTACTTGTCACGGCTACGTTACCCTGGACTGGTGTTTTCAGGGCGTTCTCAAGTGACCACCTGACTTAAATTTTAGGTGAAATGCTAAAGTAAAATACTATTTGTAATTAACCTGGCTCCCAGTTTTCTTAATTATCGTATTTACCCAATTTGATGGAATGAAGGTTTATGCTAAAGAATGGCTTTTTGTTTTAGTCTAGAAAGTTGGCTTCAAAACTCCATTTTACGCGGTCGTTGGAAGGTCGAGCAACTGCCTGTTGGAAGTGTTGAGTGTGATACTCAGAAACGATTCAGACAAAAATCTTTTAGTTAAGCAGGGGCGATTTTGGTTATATTTGATACTCTATGATGCCACATTTAGTTTTAGTTGAAAAGAAACACAATTATATACAAACAACTTAGCCTTAATTTTCTAAAATAGCTTCTTCTTACCAAAAATAGCAGAAGGCCCAGAGGGGGAAAATTTGTAATTGTTGTTGAATATGGTCACACTTTCTGGAATGTGGCATTGGGCTTCTAGTTATATAAAATTTGTTTATATATATAAGCTCTGTAATTTTTAATTATAACCGTTAAGTAAATGCCTCAGAAAAGGATACTTGAGTCTGATATCTGGAAAGCATAGTTTCCAAGGTAATTTGAGGGATAAGATCCCTTCCCATCCAGATCTCTTTGAAATGAATGATGGTATTGGCAATTTTTGCACCCATTGGTTTCCTAGGGTTACTAACTGTATGAGAGAAAAATATTTTTAGTCCAGTCCACAGTTAGCAAATAAGGCCGGGTAGGTATTATAAATGAGTGAGGCTGGCTGGTGGAGACTTTGAAAATGGAAGAACATAGGTCTCATTTAAAAGGGGCAGTAAGTAATCAACCCCAGGCCACTGTTGCTTTTCAAGAAGTTCAGCCCAGTGTTGCTGGATCTCTCTTTCTCTCCCTCTCTTCTAGAGTCTTCTCTCTCTCCATTGAAATCCAGATATTCATATTTTACATGGGTTGTCTCATATAATCTTTCCAAGTGTCCTACGAGGCAGGTGCTGTTATCATCACCAACCTTTTAACAAGTGAAGAAACTGTGGTACAAATTATTTAAGTAATGATAGATTGACACAGCTAGGAGGTGGCAGAGCCAGGACTTGAACCAGGGCAGGATATATCCAGGGCCTGTGCCCTGACCCACAGCCACTCTACACTTCTCACTTCCCGACTATGACTTCTTCAAAGTCACAAGTACAGTTGCTCCATCTTACAGCCTCGCTAAGGTATGGCTATTTCTGTGTTAAGGAACAATTCAGTGAGCCCCATTATCCTAGTTGTGGATAAATGAAGACCACCCACATGAGAACAAGCAAAGGCTGTTTATTCAAAGCAAGGAATTCAGCCACCATCGCTTGCATTTGACAGAGACGCCAAGGCAGGCAGGGGAGTGGGAAAGCTCTATAGTGGGGAAAAAAGAAGGCTTCAGGTGTGCCCTGATTGGAGGCTGTTGGCATGAGGAAGCTGTAGCCAGGCTAACTAGAGGTTGGGCATTCTGTGTGATTGTTTAGGGGGGCTTATTTGCCTTTCTCCAGTTGGCCCTAAGGTGGAAGCAGGAGCACAAATTAGGGAAGCTGTCAGTTATTAATCAAGTCCTGACCATTTGGGCCCAATGCTACAGGGGTTATTGTTGGCTTCCTGGACTAGTGGCTACAGATACTAATTTGACTTCCCAGACTGGTTCCTGTAGATGGTACTTTGGCTTCCTAGGCTGGTTGACACATGTTGTGGGTCAGAGTTCCATTTTTACATATAGTCTGGCCACTGTTCCTCTGGATATTCCTTCTGTCATAGAGGGAGGGTCTAAGATGCCTACTTCTTGATTCTCCAGCTGCAGTTCATTGTGCAGGGGGGCTGTGCCTACTGACAGCCTGGACCACACAGCTCTGAAAGGAGACCTGGGACACCCAGCTGCTTCATGAATTGTTGGCTCAGCAAGAAGGGAAGATGGCTCAGTTTGGGGTAGCTGAGGGCAACTGCCTGTGTTAAATATGCCGAGTTTCTCTATTGGCCTTTAAAAGAGAAAGAGGGGAAGAAGTGCAGGGAGGGAAAACTTGACCTTAAAAGGGGGAGAAGAGAGTGTTGGGGAACTGAATTAAGGAGACAGCCCCTTTTATGCTCAGGACAGCTGAGAGCCTGAAGATACAGAGGGTCCAAAATTCCATAAAGAAAACAATGATAATAGTAACAGGTAAGACTGTCTTGAGCTGATGATTCTTGATGATGGTGAATATCAGGCTGTATTTATAAAGGCAGCTCCGACAAGGTAAATCACATGGCAGCTTATATGATATGATCAGAGTGTACACAATAAGGTAGAAGGCCAGTCTTTCACAATCTGGAATCCCTATACCTTCTTTTAAAGATACAGCCCTGGCCGGTTTGGCTCAGCGGTTAGAGCATCCGCCTGCGGTCCGGAGAGGCCCGGGTTCGGTTCCCGCTAAGGGCATGTACCTCGGTTGCAGTTTGTCCCCGGCCCTGGTTGGTCGTGCGGGTGGCAGCCACTCGATGTGTCCCTTTCGCATCGATGTTTCCCTCTCTCTCTCTTCCTCTCTCTCCCTCCCACTCTGTCTGTACAAAAAATGGAAAAATGTCCTCGGATGAGGATTAAAAAAAAACAAAAAAAACGCCCTGGCCGGTTTGGCTCAGTGGTTAGAGCGTCGGCCTGCGGTCTGGAGAGACCCGGGTTCGGTTCCCGCTAAGGGCACGTACTTCGGTTGCAGTTTGTCCCCGGCCCTGGTTGGTCGTGAGGGTGGCAGCCACTCGATGTGTCCCTTTCACATCGATGTTTCTCTCTCGCTCTCTCCCTCCCACTCTATCTGTACAAAAATTGGAAAAATGTCCTCGGGTGAGGATAAAAACAAAACAAAACAAAACAAAAAATAAAGATACAAATGCCCAGGTTCCACCTCTGGAGCTGTTTGTTGATACAGGGTCCAGCATCCTTCTGTTTTTGCCAATCCCTTTAGGGGAGTCTGAGGCACAGCCTGGTTAGGAGGCATTGCTTGAGCTGAATTCTCTTCTCTATTAGCACCCTAATGTAACAGTTGTTTTACCACGCTCTTTTAATATTCCACTTAGTTCTTTTTATCTTTAAATAAATTCTACATATTAATCTTCAAATCAGTTTTATCAAGTACTGTTATTTAAAAGAGTGTAATCACAAGGTAATATAGTCTCTGGTTGGTGTTGATGATTTTATGGCTTTATAATGAAAGCAGAGTTCTAATGGGAAAATGTTATTTATCTTCTCTACCTTATAGACATGATGACATGTATACACAGCCTCTGGTGACAACTTACTTCATTCCTTTACAATAGAGTGGTATTTGAATTAAATTGTTTAGAGCACTTCAATGATACACTGAGAAGGAAACTCTTTTTATACATACTATGTGATGGGTTATATTCAACTTTCTTTCTCTCAAAAAAGGAAGACAATTATCATAGAAATTATTAATCACTTTAAAACAAATTAAATGTAGAATCACATTAAATGTATATTTGAATGTTCAATAAATATTTTAAATAGCAACAATAATAGCTGCCATCTATTGAGTGTTCACTGTTTGCCATATACTGTGTGTTAAGTACTTTACAAAGATTATCTCATTCATTTATCACAAAAATTCTATAAGGTTATTACTTTTTCTATTTCCATTTTATAGACAGAGAAACTGACTGCCAGAGTTTAGGTAATTTACCTCAAGTCATAGTCTAATAAATCACAGATTAGGATTCTAACCAGATGGTCAGACTCCAAAGCCTATGGTCTTTTTTTTTTAATGTTTAAGTAGACTGTTGTTTAGAATAGGTTTAAATTTACAGAAAAATGTAAAAGATAGTACAAAGAGTTCCAGTATACTCTATATCTTTCCCAGTTTCCCTTCTTACTAGCGTCTGACTTTAGGATGATACGTTTGTTACAATGTTGACATGCTATTACTAAAGTCCACAGTCTATTCACATTTCCTTCATTTTTACCAGACATGCCTTCTGCCTCCCAGGGTCTCATCCAGGACACCTCATTACATTTAGCTGCCATGTCTCCTTCAGCTCTTCTTGCTGTGATAGTTTCTCAGACTTTTCCAGTTTTTGGTGACTTGGACAGTTTTGAGGAGTATTGGTCAGCACCGGTCTACAGTTTTTGTAGAATGTCCCTTGACTGAAATTTGTCTGATATTTTTCTCATGATTAGCTTGAGGTTATGGGTTTTGGGGTGGTAGACCATGTAGGTAAAGAACCGTTTTCACATCACATCACATCACATCACATCACATCACATCACATCACATCACATCACATCACATCACATCACATCACAGGTACACGATATTTACATGATGTTAACCATAGTTGAGGTAGTACCTATCAGGTTCTACACTTCATTTTATTTTTTTTAAAGTTCACTCTTCTTTTTAAAAGTAATTTTTCTTTATTGATTTTAGAGAGAGAGGAAGGGAGAGGGAGAGAGAGAAACATCAGTGAGAGAGAACACTGATCAGCCGCCTCCTGCATGCCCCCCACTGGGGATCTGGCCCACAGCCTGGGCATGTGCCCTGACCGGGAATCGAACTGGCGACCTCTCGGTGCATGGGTCGACGCTCAACCACTGAGCCACACCAGCTGGGCAGGTTCTACACTTTAAATTACTACTCCCACCCCTTTCCATATTGTACTGTCTGTAAGGAAGTCACTATGCGCAGTCCACTTAAGGAAGAGTTACGCTCCCCTCCCTGAGTGGAGCAGAGCCCGTGTTCTCTTGCCCACCATGTCATTCCTCCCACTTGTTCTGTCTGGATCGCACTTCTACTCTAGTTCTCCCCATTTTTCTGTTCCCCGTTATGATAAATTCCTAAAAAGGGTTATGTATACTCTAGTTTCTCCTTTCTCCCTTCAGTCTGCTCCAGTCAGAGTCCTCTCCTCCAAGGTCACCGTGGCTAAATCCAGCGGTCAGTTCTTCATTTTATTTGACACAGTCGGTCACTCCTTCCCCCTGGAAGCACGTTCTTTACTTCTAGAACGTTACACTCTATTTATTGTCTTCTCTTTTTACAGGTTCCTCTTTACCTCTCTGATCTCTTGGAGTGTCCCTGGGATTAGTCCATGGACCTTTTCTCTTCTGTGTATCTACTATACCCACTATTTGTCAGTTCCATTTTTGTGCTAATAACTCAGATTTCTAGCCTGGGTCTCTCGAACACCAGCACCATCCATCTACTTGCCTGTTTGACGGAACAACTCCAACCTAACAGTCCAGAAATGCTCCCCACCCCCCGAACTGTTTCTCCATCGCAGTTAATGGCAACTCCATCCTTCACTGGTTCAAGACAAAAATATTAGTCTTTAATGACTTCTTACTTTCTCTTGTAAACCACATCCTGTCTCTCAGTAAATGCTGTTGACTGTGCCTTCAGGATCAACCTAATAATCTGACAACATCTTACCACTGTCACCACTGCCGCCCTGGTCCAAACCACCATCAGATCCCACCTGGACAATTTTAGCAGCCTCCTGACTGGGCTCCCTGCTACTGCCCTTGCCCCCCTCCAGTCTCCCGTCAACACAAGCCAGTGAGTCAAGTATCTGTGAAAAGTATTTGATATCACTATCTTCTTCAGAACCTTCCAGCAGCTCCTCACTGCTCAGTAAACACCGAAGTCCTCCACTGCCTTTCTCACTTCCTTCTTTTTTGCTGGACTCTAGCCACACTGGCCTCCTTGGACACGCAAGGAGCATTTTTTCTGTAGGTGACCTGGAGGCTTCCTTCCTTCCTGTTTTTGATTATTACTTACCCTGGCCACTCTTTTAAAATTGACACCCCCTGTACCCTTATGCTTCTTTCCTACTTTATATTTCTCCGTGTCATTTATCCTTCTCCACATACTTTATCTGTCTTTGCTTATGTGTTTATTGTGCATACAGAAATAAGACTCCTGCGGGCAGGGGATGTTTGTTTGCTTTGTTTTCTGCATACTCCTCTGGTGTCTAAAATTGTACCTGGTACAGCCCTGGCTGGTTCAGCTCAGCGGTTAGAGCATTGACCCTTGGACCAAAGGGTCATGGGTTCGATTCCCAATCAAGGACACTCCTTGGGTTGCAGGTTCAGTCCCAAGCCCCCGTCTGGGTTATATGGGAGGCAACCAATCAGTGTGTCTTTCTCACATCGATGTTTCTCTCTCTCTCCCTCCCTCCCTTCAACTCTATTTAAAGAGCAATGGAAAAATATACTCGAGTAAAGATTAACAAAAAATAAAATTGTACCTGGTACAGAGTAGGCATGCAGTAAATATCTGTTGACTGAATGAATTAATGAACAGATAGATGTCTGTTGAACATCCAGAACCTTCTTGGGCAGAATTTTAGACAAAGCATTGTACAAGGATTTTTCCAATTTAACGGAGGCAACAGATTTATACAGATGTTATCAAGAAGTTAACAAGGGAAGGTGGTGTGGGGAAATAGTACTGATCATTGCTGGGGTGTGGATTCTGAGTTCCAGATTGAAACGTTGGTGTTGAGGGTGAAATGTTCTTAGATTCTCTCCCAGAGGTAATGTTAAGTCCATACCTGGGTCTGGGATGGAGAGAGCAGGACAGATGGGGATAGCTGAAAAATCATGCACAGCTTTTCCCCATTATTAAGTTATGAGCCCTACTCAGGTATTGGGGTAACAAGTACACATGAGCCTAAGTATGAATAAATATTATTTCTTTTAATTTATTTTTATCCTCACCCAAGGACATTTTTTGTTCAGATAGAGCGGAAGGGGGTGAGAGAAAGAGAGAAACATCAATGTGAAAGAGACACATCAAGTGGCTGCCACCCGCACAACCCAACCGGGGCTGGGGACAAACTGAAACCGAGGTACGTGCCCTTAGCGGGAACCGAACCCGGGTCTCTCTGGACCACAGGCCGACGCTCTAACCGCTGAGCCAAACCGGCCAGGGCAATAAGTATTATTTCTTGTAAAATTTCTTAGCTAATGGATATTAATGCTACAGTCTGGAAAGAGGAGTTGAGCTAACTTAGACTTTTGAAATTTGTTTTACTTCTTTTGCAATTAAAAATATCTTCAAGCCCAGGTCGGTTTGGCTCAGCGGTCGGAGCATTGGCCTTCGGACCAGAGTCCCGGGTTTGGTTCCTGTTAGGGGCACATACCAAAAAAAAAAAAAAAAAAAAACCCAAACA